AAAATTAGAAAGTTTAAACGAATATTATAATAATATGTATAAAAGAACTATTGAAAACCTTGGAACAACAGATATCTCTTTGTTCATGCAAGTTGAAGTGTAACAACAAAACACTTATTTATCTTGAAGTTGATCATCATGCATTAAAACGACTTTTATAGCTTTCTGTTGACATTTAGTACAAGCCAAATAGTATCATTCCGCCTTAGCACACACATAATTAATCGTACCGACAAAAATCAATGTTTTTTTCCTGAAAAATATTAATATAACTTTAAATTATATGATAAAAAAGTAAAATGAAAGATTAAGCTAAAAATAATCCAAAAAGTATTTCACATAATATATATTTTATAAATGAAAGTAACGTATATAAACCTCATGTACTTGTTGGAGATCAACAATATTCTAGAAATCAAACTTATGAAGGAAGTCTTCATTTTCAGAGTAGATGGGTTGCTAAAATTAGCAACCGTGATTTAAGCTATGTATCTTTTTGTGAAAAAAATAATGATTGTTTCAACTTAATGATTTAGGAAGTATAATCCCAAAATAAGACTTATTTAAAAATAAATCAAACTTTCTGCACGTGATCTCATTTTGTGATTATGGGTGATTGAGAGAGCCATTCACAGTCTTAGTAAGATCCAATATTTATTTATATTATATATATTGTATATTTGATAAATATAAAATTAACATTTAAACTATATATAATTTAACAAACAAAATTGTTTAAACTAATTGATTTTTTCTAAAACTATTATGAGATTTTGTAATATGAAAGTTTAGAAACCAGCAAAACAACCAATCTATATCGGTGTACTTATGAAGAATAAGACAGTGATGAGAGATTTTTAGGTTTTGATATCTTTTTTATACTTTTAATTAACACTTTCTAAGTTTAATAGTAATCGAAATCTTAGAAATGTTAATAGGGCTTAACAGATTGATGGTTTTGGATTTTAGATTGGATTATCTTAAACTAAAAGATTTCAAAATTTTGATATTTTTATCCATCTTGCTGCTTTCCCTCTAAAACTCCAGGGGTTTTATCTTATACTTCTTATAATAATTTAATTTTTTGATTACTCCTTTGTTTTGACGGTAGATCGATCCGCTGTGTATGCAGTGTATTGGATTAAGTTATGCATATTTAACTTTTATTACCTAACATATATATAT